TTTAATGTACCATTATAAATTTAAGATCAGTAGTATACACGCAAGTTTACATCTGATAATACAAGATAATAAGCGAAAAAAAGGACGAACCTGTTTTACAACAAAATAAAAATCAATCATTCAAATTTGAAAAAGCAACAATAAAGTAAAGGGCGAAGAGAATATGTGCTGGACATGCAAAAGAGTTTGGTATTTTTATTTTTCTTATTTTATTTTTGCGCTTTTGTTTTGTCAAAAAATCTTCCCATTGTTGTCATCAAAGGCTTATCCTTTTGTATTGTAATGTGATAGTTGCACTCGTTAAAGTTAAAGATTTAGAATTATGCATTAAAGTGATGATCATTTTTGGATTGGGTAATTTTTATAATTTTTGTTATACTGAAGTTTCATTATATTCGTCTTGTTTTCATTTTGTGAATCAAAAGCCGCCACCTTACATTGATAAACTTTTATTTTCTGAATTTTTTCTTTAAATTTGCATATTGTCGCTATAGAATTCACACGACAATTGAACTTTAAAAAAAAAAAAAGGAGAAGTTTATAATCATTTTTGAACTTGATTTGTTCTGTGGATTGGAGCATTAAACTGGTACCCAAACATACTTATCGGCCAGATAATTATAAGAGGAAAATTGTTAAAAAATTATTTCGTAAGTTATTCAATTAAGGTTAGAGTAAAATTAAAGTTTTCAAATATTTTAGATTTGTTTTAGGACTTTATTTGTTTTTAGTAGAAGATCAAAGCTTTGTCCATCTTCGAATTTTAATTCATCTCATAATAAGCATAAAGTTGCCGACATTAGATGATTGGTTTTGAGAAATTCAAGGCTAAAAGTTTTGTAGTTTAAAGTATAAAATTTACGAAATCATACAATGTGTATTTTCAAAAAGTAAACATTTTTTAATTTAGCAATTCAGCTGAATTTAATGCATTAAAGACCTAATTCTGACCAGATTTCCTGTGTTGCCACCTCATTACATGCGTAAGAATTTCAAAATTTTCACATGTATGTAATGGGAGTTTCCCAAAAACTTTTTGAAAAAAGTGCTTATTAGTTTCTCTCTGTCCGTCCGTCCGTCTGTCCGTCCGTCCGTCTGTCCGTGTGTTTGTTTACAAAACTTCTACATCCTTGAAGATAGAAAACTGAAATTTTGTATGTACGTAACAGAAAATTAAAACGTAAAAGAAAATTTTTACCTCTAAAAGTTATATCCCCCCAAAACCCTAAAAATTCCATTTTTTAACTATATATTGCTATTGAAACTACAAGCATTTTTCAAATTTCGTGAACATGGAAAAGCAGTCGGTTGCTTCTTCTACCGCAGCCTACCGTACTTGTAAATACCGCTAAAATCTACCATTATCTAAAATCCTTTTTTTTCGAAATTTTTGATACCGGCTTTCTTCTAGACCTCAAGTTGTAGAAGGCTGAATTTTAGCAGCCTTTAAACAGTAATATAAATAGTTCATTTCGCTAGAAGAAAATGTTTATCCTTCTCCACTCCCTCTTAAGTTATCGCCTCTTGAAATTTGTAAAATTTGAATTATTGACGCCTTATATTTCTGACATTGCAAGCTTTTTCAAATTTCTATAATCGCGAAAAGCTAACGGTGAATAACATGCCATTTAAAAATACTATTATTTTTCTTACCTCATGAAATTGGCCCTTAAATCAAGAATTGTGTTAACGCTTCTCTTAATTTTTTTTGCTTTATTTCAAAGATTAAATGCATATATCATCCTAAAGGTATGCAATCTTTGAAATATATTCGTATATGAATGAAAGTAACTTTAATATAATTTTAGTAATAGTACAACGTTAGATTGTTTTTAAAAATGGTGTTTTCATCTGTTAAAGGAAAAAGTGCTACATTACAAACCATTGTTTTTTATTTAACTAAAATATAAAACATTTTTTAAAGAATGTCACTTATGATTCTTTATTACTTAAGACATGAATAATTAAAACTTAAATTTTAGAAATATTATTTAGTTTGTTGCATTGTTGCAATATTCAATCAAAAATTGTTTTCTGATATTAAATAGGTTTACTTTGCTTCATCAGTGTAAGTGTAAAGCTATCAGGATACTGGAAATCGCCTCCAAAAAGTATTCGAATCATGATTCTCACCTTATTTACTTACTTAAACAAAAAATATTAGTGCCTAAAAATAGACTTCGACACTGCAGTAAATAGCAAAAGTGATGTTCCATAAAATTTTTGTTCGATTTCAATCTTTTCTTAATTTCTTTTTTTTGTAATTCCTTCTCAGTTTTGTTGTTTTTCAAAAGGAATGCAGTCAGTTAAAACATTTCTGCTTGTTAAAATATTCGAATTAAAAACGCAAAAAGTAACAGAACAAAAATTAGAGCTTTATTTAAGAAAAAAACATTTAAAAATTTTTTAAAATTTGAGAAAATAAAAAAGTTTGTAATTAAAACGCATAACTTGCCTGATACACTCGTGCATATTTCAGCAGTACCAAAGTATTTCAGAATTGAAGAGCAAATATGCTAAATGGTTTCAATTTATCCGATTGTCTATTGGTCCCTGCCCATTCTGGTAATGAATCTGCTTATATTTGATAAAATATACTCCTTCCTTCTTTGAAAGAAGAGTTATTTTGATCGAATTTCATTCCGATTTCCGAACATTATTCGCAATTCTCGGTTATCATTCCAAATTTCTGATTTTACTATTGCTTATGAAAACTAATCATTTTGAGAAACTTGAATCCGGAACTTTGTCGTTCTCAGATCAAAATTTGCTAGTTCGAAATTTTCGTAAAAAAATTTTACACCCAAAGTTAGGTATAAAGAGCAGAACTGTAAACTCGATGTTAACGAAACCTAATTTTATTAATTTAATAAAATGTTAAATGATCTTATCTGCGGAAAAAGTTGTAAAGATAAATAACTTGTTTTTCCCAACATTTTGTTAAATAAGCGTTCGATCATTTCCCGTAACGATAAAAAGCTTACGACGAATTCAAAGTGATTCATATTTTGCACCACATTTAAAATTTGGTTTGCCAAAATCAAGCTCTATAAAACTACTTTTGGATTTTTTTCTCCTTTTCATTAAGAAGGACAATAACTGATCCTAATAATTTTTTTTTTATTTCTACCAATTCGTAAATTTTTACCTTTTATTTTTGTGAAAAAAATAAAAAAATAAAAAAAATCAGTGTGTGAATAATGGGTTTGAAAAATCATCATCTAAAATGAAAAGAAGTGCTTATAGTACAGCCATTTCCAAAAATCCTATGTGTAGAAAAATAAAAATACAAAAATAAGAAATTGTAGTGGTCCATTGAGTTTTTTCCATTCAGAAAGGAAAAAATAAATAAAAAAATTTACGTGTTGCATATAAAAGAAAAAGTAAGAAGAAAAGGAATTGAATAGCGGCGCCAATTGGTCGTCGTCTGATCGACCATCTAAAAACCGTCAAGGTGATCAATTGATCGCTTTTATAATTCACTTTTTTTGTATTTCTCTTTCTTTCTTTCTGAATTTTTCATCTCATTTTATGTTCTGATGCTCTTGTATTGTATTTTTCACATAGAAAATCTTTTTTCTTTAAGGCTTTTAATGATGTTTTGTTTTTATTTTTGTATTGTGTTAAAAAGTTTTGCCTTTTTTTCACTTAAAGATTTCATTTAAGGCTCTTTTGAAATGTATAATAGATGATGATCGGCACTTATTTAACAAGTGAAAAAGAAGCAAAAATGTTGTTACGATGATAGAAATAAAGGTTATTTTAAGAAGGAATAAAATTAATAACCTACCTGCAATCAGAATTGAAAACTTTTGGATTTTTGTCTTTATTTATGAGAGCGATGGGTGCTTATATATACACAAACAATGTCGCAATATTATTCCAGTCTTATTATCCAGTAATTTTAACTTATTATTCAATATGAAATAAAATACGATGTCATATTTTTACTGGGCATCTGAAAAATGCAAAACCGATATATTATTCCTCTAAAAGGCTAACGGATATTGCTAGATACTGCTAAGTGAGAGTTTAAAATCCATCTCAGTTTTTTATGATTATTTTTGAAACTTATACGAGTATCCTAATCGTGTATCTCGCTTTTCCATTTCACTTTGTTTTCACTTTCAAATCAAAATTCTCCGTTTTTCTAATGGATATTTCAGTTTTCTAATAAGATTACTTATTTTATCAATTGGACTTTTGCATTTTTTCTCAAATTATCGACTGAATGTCTCACTTTAAAAAAAAAAAGTGAATAAATTTTATGTAGATTTTTTAAAAAAACGGGATACATAATACGGAACAATTCTTCTCACTCGAAAATTACATTACGAAAATGTATGATAGTTACTCCCCTTCTTCTCGATTTCGTAAAATTGTGAGGCAGACGACTCTAGAAGTTCCGTTTTAGAGGCTACGTTTGATTAGGAAGTTGTAAATCATAATTAGGATTGGTCGGAATTAGAGTTCGCACTTTAGTCCAAACTAGGTTGTTTTAAGTTGTCAATTATTTTTATTGATTTTAAAAAATAGTCATTTTGATCGAAATTTTTTTCGTTTGTCTTAAAAATTTTTGCTACACTAAATTAATACTTCAGGGCAAAAGGGTGAAACTATAGCACTAATGGGCCGAGTGCTTTTTTTTCATTCTTTTGCATAAGTTATTGACTTAGTGATTTATAACTGTGACACATTACTTTACTTTGACATCTCAAGTAACTTTAATGATTTTATAATGATTTAACTCAAGGCCATAACAAATTAAATAAATAAATAACTGAAAGAAAGGTACTCGTATTTTAGAAACAATAACGTATTTGGGATTATGTTTCAGTGACACTAATCGTGAAAAATTCTAGAGAAGAAGGCTAGAAAGTCTTATAAAACTTTTTTCTTTGTGAACTAAAATACTTCCAACATGTATCTACCTTAAGTATGAATATTTTGTGGGACGATTTGCAAAAAGTAACGTGGAGTGAAAGTTAATGGTCCTTTATTTTTCTGCTTTAATATTTGTATTTAAATTTAAAAGTTTTACAAAACTATTTTGATAATTTTACTTAACTTATTCAACTTTTTTGGTTAAACTTATTTGGTTGAATGGAATACAGCTTTTCCTATGAGCTTATATAGGAATACATATTCACCATTTCGATTGCATATTTACCATTTTAATCAACTGTCAGTGATCTCGGTTGAATACCCATTATAGTGGTTTGATGATGAATTTTTGTGTAATGCTTAACTAAAGTCTTTATTTGTATAAATGTCTTGCCAATACCACCTTCAGTTATAATGCAATCAATATCCGCACCTTCATTTGTATCAATTTCAATTAGAGCATATTTTACTACATTACCACTACCAACCGTTGGATACCGTACTGAAAAGTTTGTAATATTTGGTTCCATTTCTAAATGATTTTTACTTTGAAATCCGATGACACTATGATCTAAATTGAAATATAGGAAGCCAATTTATTTAGTATATACGATCTCAAATCCAAAATTTCATTTTACCGTAAGTCCAATTTCCAAATGTAAAAATCCATTTTCCTGGTCTAATTTCATAAGAGGGTAGTGCTGTAGAAGTTAATAAAAATGAAATATATAAAAGAAAAATTACTTTTTTCAACATTGTTAAATTTTGTGAATGTTTTACAAAAACTGAATACTTTTAACTAATTTCGCCAGATATTTATACAAAAATATTAAAATATTTTAAATTTCATTCGCTGAAGATAAAATAAGTGATAAGAATGAAATATTAGCAATGCTATTAATAATATTATAGCAAAGTTATAAATATTTGAAATATTGCAACTGCATAATAATATATTTAACAGCTTTTGAATTACAGTTCCGGAAAATCATAATAATGAGATCGTAAAAAAATGAATTATGGCACACCATTATTCTGCGATAAATTGACTATCGAAAAGTTGAGGAAATAATAATTTTTCTACAGTTTGAAAGTCAATGTAATATTATTCGTAAAGTATCATTTTAGTTGTTAGCAAAAAATTGTAAGAACGATAATTGCAGGAAATGTAGCCTCCAATTTATAATTCAATTTTATACAATTATAATATATAAATTGTATACAATTTATAATTCAATAATATCAGAATATTTTTATGAGTTACGAGATCGTCTTCGAGCTCTGAAAGTATTCCGAAAATTTTGATCGAAAATAAATTTAGCGACGAAATTTTAGAGTACAATAGTGAGTGATATTGAAATTAAAGGGCTGATTATTGATATATTTTCAAAGCAAGGCCATAAATAAAATATTTTAGTTCGATAAATCATTATGTAATACAGAAAAAATTTTTGTGAGTAGATTGTAGTAGAACTAACGTTCAAATAAAAAATATTAGCGATTTGATGATAATTTTCCATATATGTAAAAACGTGTAACCGTTTAACGATATATAACTCCTCTTTTCGGTCTTCATATTATGTTGGTTGGTGTAGTTGTAAAAATTACGCACATAGAGTATTTCTACTAATTATGCACATTAGAATTATTTCTACTACCAGTCATTTAAAAATGTTTGAACGCCTGTTATACGCATTCTTAAATGAATGTTGTAGAGGCACACGTTTTACTCTATTATGTAAATTATCAGTTTGCGAAGCTTTTTTCTCATTTATATTGCAGCAAAAAAATATTATTTTTTTTATTATTTTAAAATATAATTAAAACCATCTGTTTTTTGCGATTTTGGAATGTCGTTATTTTGGGTCTGTCTACAAGAGTAAATTAAATAATTTTTAAAACAGAAAAAACTGTTATGCATAGATAAATTGCCTGTGTTGTGTGTACGTTGTCATACAAATATATGTGTACATATATACGTAAAACATACGAGCACATACATATTTACATTCAAGAAATCTAACTAAAAATGTTAGTTTTCTTATGGTTTATGTTCTATGTAGATAAACATACGACTATAGTTAACTTTGGTTAGTAATTAGTCCTTTTTTGTCAATATACATTTGAATACAAAATTAGAATAAATTTAAATAATTTTGCCTACTCTAAGATATAAAGCTAAATACAAGATTTAATTATTAAAACTCTCAGAATTTTAAATTTCTTTTAGTGTTTGATGCGATGTTTCTTTAAAAATGTCCGAAGTCACAGTCCTATTGTACAAATTGTAAGTTGTAATACGTGATTGGAACTGATAAAAAATCTATTAGACATGTTTTATAAATTATTAAATTAAATTAAATTTTTCATATTAAGAATGCCCCCTGTACTGTAAAAAACTGAACCCAAATAACTTCTGTTGAGCAAATAGAACCCAAGCCCTTATTGATTGGAAATTTTGTCGGCTAGGTATATCGGTATTAAAAATTGACCAAATCCTAATTTTGAAAACTCTGTGCTGTTTAAAGGTAAAATTAAAGGTAGAGCTGATAATTTTTCAAAGACGACTGGTTTTCTGAATTTAAGAGAAGAACTTTAGTTATCGTTTCTATAGCAGATTTTAAAAATTATCATCAACACTAATTTTAGATTTATAAACAGAAAGTGAATTTTGTAATAACTGTTCGATATTCTTACTTATAGTTCATGTCTTCAAATTCTATAGTTATATCGACGCTTCCATTTAGGAAAGATTAAGTTACTTTATGATGATTGGATACAATTAATTAATTTTGCTAAAATTGACCTCTTTAAAAAAAAAAAATTCTTCCTCACTTTTGTATATCTTTTTACGGTACAGATGATTATGAAACATTTCCGTTGCGATTATTATAGAATTTTTATAAACTGTATATGTGCTATTCAGGTAAGCATTTATAAAACAATGATTAATAATTAATAAATTCATTATCACACATTGGCAGTGATGTTGATTACGATGATTATGATCACTTAAAATTATCAATTTGAGGTGAAAAAACAAATGACAAAAACTGCTTGTGCGGTTCACAAAATCGTGAAATTGAATTTTTTTTTTGTCTTAATTTCACGTCAAATATTTTGTGAATGAATTGTATAAGAGCTTAAGAATTTCATGCTAATTAAACGGATGTTATAAAAAATAATTGGAAAAGCGGTGTTGGAGATTTTTCTATATACAATTTTTGGTGGACATTAACTCAAATATAAAACGGTAAAGAGTAATAGTTTTGTTATTGGTTTTGTTTTTTATCAGTTTTGTTAAAAATTTATTTAAGAATACTCATTTGACCGTCACTATTTAAATGAGTTTTTTTTTATCACAATGTTGTTTTAAGCCGGATGAAACATGAATTTTTGTGGTTTCAAGAGAATGTTATATGACAAATCATTTTTAATTTTTTTTTGTGATGATTATTAAATTCTTGTTCTAATATGCTTATATTGTGGTACATATTAAAACTATTTAGATAATCGAGAATCTCATCCTCAAAGAAAATTTAGAGAAAGATTTTTTGGAGTTGCATTATATTTCGATAATTTATATCTTAATAGGCATACATGCATAGTGGGCGGTTATACCATATATAAAAGGTAAGTATATGGAATGAGTGTCCGAAAACCGGGGCGCGATTATTGTGCGAAATTTGCAATGGTAATGGACATTATTCATTCCTTTGAAAGCGGCAGGAGCGTAATTTTCGGAAAGCGCATATGGCGCTAAACAAATCAGAACTGGGCCTGAGTGGAAGGCAAAATGTGTAAATCATTTTGGAAAATTGAAAAATTTGCAATGTAGAAAAGATTAATAGCAATATTAACATTTAAACTGGTATTCGAAAATGAAGAATCGAAAAATATTTTTTGATGGCCTTGTAAGACTATAGAAAGAAAATTGATTAACATGGCAAATTGAAAGAAATGGTTTAGAGTTTTGCCTTTAACTCGTTCCGTTGATTACAGCATCCATCTGATCTGCAGTTGTATGAAGAAATTTCCATAAAGTTAACAGAAGAACCCTAGAATTCTGGTCGCTTTAGTTGTAATTTCTGCTGAGAAAGGGAAATGTCATAAAGGAAAATGGAGTAATTTATTTTTATATACATTTTAGTTCTACATAATATAATAGAATTATAACTGTGAAGCAAAGTATTATACAGAGTGAGCTATACTCGATAGTTCTACTGAAACATGGAGATATAACACGTCTCGACGAATCAAGGACATTTTAGTTTTTAATCAAAGTAAATTGTTCATTCTTTTGGGGTTTACCACTTAATGTCAAATTTGTATTCGTTTTTGCATATAAGTATTTGCATTGGAGTCACTTTAAATTATAGACGAAAACTTTCCTGTCTTATTTCTTTATTTGGATTAGTGAATTTGAAAATCATTTTTGAATTGAGGAGTTAAGCATTGTTTTGTTATTCGACTGATTTGTGATTCACCACAACATAATGTGTAATACTGAAAACATCTTTAAAATACTGTACGACTAAGTTTCAAAAACGGGCAAGCTAAGGGGACTAATATAACAAATGCGCTAATATAACTAAGGAGACTAATATTGAATTCCTGAATTTAATAGAGATTTATTATGGAAAACTTAAATATGTACAAATTAAATTAGAAAATTTTAATTAAATTTCCTAGTCTATTGGGTAAATTATGCTCTGATTCTCACACATCTCCAATAAATTAAATTTGAAAACTCATTTAAATTTTCTCAAATTAAAATTGAAAATTTATATTGCAATTATCATGAGTAGGAATATTTTTTAAAACCTTTTGATGAAGCGTATGAAACTTGATCTCAATAACCTTGTGCGTCTTAACGTAAAGTGTTTATTAAACAAATTTATTGCTATTCAATAAATTATTCTTTTAATTTACTAATGAGCCTTTTGAAACAAATCATTAATTAATTTTTATATTATTTTTAATCTGATTTTTTATTATAAACTTTAAATTTTTATAAGAATTTAAGCGAACAAATTTTATATGTGAATTTATAAAGTGCATAATAAAAATAATATAAAAATTTAAAAAATTAAAATTCTCACGTTAATTCCCATGATCTTGTAAATTCTTTCAAGCTTTTCTTTTATTTCAAAAATATACATATAAAAATATGTTAAGGACACATCATAATATTAAAAAGGACAAGACAAAAATATTTTATTAAAAGTGATGAGTAATGCCATTAAATCTTTTAATGTTTTGAATTTTCGAAAAGATTCACAGTGAAAGCCCGCACAGGAAAATCTTCAATTCAAATGCTTCATTTTTAGTTTAAGTGCGGGAGGTCTCTATATATTCCCCAACTTATTAAATATAATATGCAACCTGTTGTGAATAAGTGACTGAATGATGATTGTACAATAAAAATTAAAAAAAAAATTAAAAAATTTTGATTACAAATCATTTGTTTCATTCGTTTTTTTTTTCTCATTATTATTTTATTATTTAATAAAATTCAAAAATAAAGACAAAAACCTTAAATACTGGCAAAAATTCCAAATTTTTCCAAAAATATTTTTCGTTTTTTTTTTAAGTAAGAAAAAATGAAAATAATAAAAAACGAAAACTATTTACGGTTTAAAATTTCATTGATAAAAAAAAAATTAAGAAAAAATACCAAAGGAAAGAGCAAATTACAACCGAACAAATTAAAAATCTGATCCTCCTGGTCGGGCGAGCATTGTATAATAAAATAATGGTGGTTTTATTAAC